CACTCTTTGAGAGAGTTTGTAAGTTTATTCTCAAATTTCCATATCCTTTGTAAGGGTTGCTCTTGAGTCCGAAAAAGAGCATTGTAACGGTTTGATCTTGAACCGTGGAAAGGATCGGGTTTCTTCTTGCTCCCGAGAAAAAAGAAGGCTTTATTCCGGTTTGACTACTACCGTGGAAAGAGTCAAAGTTTCTTAATCGAATACCCAAGAAACGCTTGGGGAGTGAAGTAGGCCGGTTGTTGCCGAACCACTATAAAATTTCCGGTGTCATTTTTTCTAACCCTACTCTATTTATTTTTTGCAATTAATTTTCTTTATTACAAATTGCATAAAATTAATTGTTCGAATTTGTTATTCATATTTATCCTCAATGTTTATATTTGAATCATGTGGGTGGTGATATTAATTAGGGTGTTTGTATTTCTAATTTATTGTTTAAATTGTGATAAAATTAATTGTTCCTAAAAAGTTTACTTATTTGTTTAAATTTGGGCCCACCGTAGTAAAAAGTTTATAAACTTTAATTAAACCCTATTCACCCCCTCTATGGTTGTCATACCGATCCAACGATTGATACCAATTGTTGGATCGGTATGACAACCCTAGAGGAAATAAATAAGAGAGAGAGTTAGAGAAATTTGACACCGGGAATTTTTATAGTGGTTTGGCACAACTGTCCTATTCCACTTCCCAAGCACCTCTTGGGTTGTAAATTGAAATTTTGACTCTTTCCACGGTAGGAGTCAAATCGGTACACTGCTCTTCACAAGAGCAAAGACGATCCTCTCCACGGTGAGGATCACACTGTTACAATGAGTTGAAGATTTTGAAATACACACGTACAAACTCTCAAATATAGTAAATAGACAAATTTGAGCTCACAAAAATTTCAATCCTCACAACAATAAATTTCTCTCACAAATAAGATGGAAAGAAAAATTGAGAACTTGGAGAGATTAGTAAAATGAAAATTTTGAAGTTATGGAGGATTGAGAATAAGAGAATTGTTGTATAATTTTGAATGAAAAGTTTAGTTTAAATAGAGGGAAGAAAATGGTAAAAAAAATCAAGTTTAATTTTAAACCATTAGATCTTAATCATTAAGAATGAAGGGTTGAGATAATTTTGAAAAAAATAAATTAAGAATATATAATAATAATAATAATAATAAAATAAAAAATATATATATAAAAAAGTGATGTGACAGGTTATAATAATAATAATAATAATATATATATATATATATGTGTGTGTGAGAAAACGGTAACTTTTCAAAAAATTTTTTTTATTTTTTTTAAACTGACAGCATTTAATGTGAAGTGACATTTTTTTTTTAAATAAAGTTATCAACGGTAACTTTTGACTTTTTCTTTTTGAATTTTTTTATTTATTTTTTTTAATATTTTTCTTTTCTTTTTCAATATATATATATATATATACACTTTAAAAAGAAGCTTGTCACTTGTCAGCTTACGAACTGTCCACATCATCTTCTCGGGTATTTTTCCTTCCAATTTGTCTCGATCGTAACTTCTCCGTTTGAGCTCCGATTTGGATGATCTAACAGTCGTTGGAATCGTTGTAACGAGCTCTACACTGTGGACACTTTAAAATACAAAAATGTCAATAAATAAAATTAAGTTTGTTATCATCAAAACATTAATTAATTAATTAATTAAAATTAATTAATTTGAGATTAAGGCCAAAAAGCCAACACTGGCTTGATGAGGTAAGACAACAATGGAGTATTGCGGCTTCATCCTTTTCATTTTTGTCCTGCACACACACGTGTTTGTATATATATTTTATCGCCTAAATTTTCATTTATATGGAAATATGAACTATATCCGGCTATAAACTATAATCATTATAACATACACTTATATGAGATATAAACTATATCCGATTATATAAACTATAAGTTATATGTGAACTATAAAGTATATACGGCTATATCCCTCTACAATTAACAAACAAACCAAATAACCTACATAATCAAATATATATGACATTATCATCGAATACTTTTTAAATACCACAAAATCAGAAATAAAAAAATAAACCTAAAATATTTAAAATGTAAACGGCAGAAAACGAACTACCGAAAACAATGGTGAAAAGCAAACGAATCGGAAACAGGTTGCCGAAGACGGTAACAATAGAAAACAGAGAAACTAAGAACAACGAGGAGACACCCACTGCACGGGACTCCAAAACCCGAGCCCCTGTTTACAAAGTTGTCCAATGAGTATCTAAACATTCAATTTTATATAAAATAATAGTCTAATTACACTTATATAATTTTAAAAAAAATGGTAAAATGATAAGTTTAATCCATAAGCTTTCTAATGACTTATTAACTTTAAAAAATGTTCAATTTTATATATAATAAATGTTCAAATAAAAAAAATTCAAAAACTGACTTCTTTTTTTCGAAATCTAATTTTTTTTTTAATATTTAATTTTTTTCTTTCTCATATATATCTCTAAAAATTCTTTTTCATTCTAAAATTTTTTTCTTTCTAATTTTATCTGTACAAAATTTATTTTTCTCTCTCTAACATTTTCATATTTTGAATATTCATTATTATTTATCTTTCTCAATTTTTTATCTTTATGTATTTTTATATTTTTTCCAAACAGATCAGTTTCATTTCTCTGTAATAATTTCTTCTGTTTTTCTTTATATTTTTTCCTCTACACTTTACTTTTTTTTTCTTTAAAATTTTTCTTTTTTGTCTTTAACTCTTCTTTTACTAATTTTTTTTCTAAATCTTTTTATTTATCCCTCTAAAATTTATCTTCCAAAAGTTTATTTACATGTCTCTAAAC